ATGAAGCAATTTTCAGATTCTCATTCATTTTAGAATTGATCTAATTTCTTAATTTGCTTTCTGTCGATTTTTATTTTTTTGAGTGAAAATCATGCGTCGGACAAAGAAATACCAGGAAATCAAATTTTCTCAAAAATAAATGAGGATTTCAAAAACGATTTTATTTTGAAAAGAAAGCATTGGCGTAGTACTTTTTCCCCAAAAATATTCAATGCGAAACCCGTAGGGATGCCACTGTTTGAAAAATGTGTGTACATCAGAAAATGCGCCTTGAGGCATAGAACATATTTACCAAATATGCCAAAGATGTCTACAAAATTATCTCAGTTATTATTAAAAAACTGATTATTTTTGAAAACTTTGCCACCCTGTATCTCAAAAGTTAAGGCGATCAGGACATACGTCCATAGGACGTTTTTTCCTTAAAATGGGTCTAAGAATTACCTCCTTAAATATTAGCATGTGTTTAAGGAACACCTTGTATGTATTATTGTTCAAGAATTTTTAGAAAACCGGCAACGACGTGAAGAACGAATGTACAGGTAACTTCACAAAAATTTCCATCATCACTTAAAATTTCAATACAGTGAAGATAAAAAATAATTCAATATTAATTTACTTACATATTGTGCGATTTCTGTCCAAATTAACCCATATATGGTAAAAACACTAATTAACTAACCTTCTAATCTCTACTAGAACGTCTACAGAAAGATAATACCTTGAATTTTAACGATTTCAACGGTACTCAAGAACTCCAATCATGTTTTTGAATACTATTTTGAATCGCTAATTCATAGCGACTGGATATTTTAAAATTAAATGAGGCGAACCAAGCAGTAGACTTGAAAACGAATGGTGGAGTAATCGAATTCAAATTATTTAATTGAATTAGCGATAAATGTTTGTTGTAGCAGCATTAATTTCAAGGCAAGAATACTTGTTTTGAAAAAACCTCTTAATCGTTCTATACATAGTAAGAGGTTTGTTGTTATATTAAAACACTAATTAGTTCTATCGAACTGATGATTCTTCATCAGTTTTACAACAACGTGTACTGTTTTACAATTATTTTCAGGTTATCGCTACAACTCAGGTCTGTTCAAAAAATATCGTGAATTTTCATATTCATCAAAAAATATTCATTTATTCATCGATTTCTATTCTGTCCCCCGTACAGACTAACGACAGATCCGAGAACAACAGGCTTTGCTTCAAGAGTCTGTCAATTTTTGTAGCAACAAAATATATATCAAAAAAACCGATCAACTATTCAATGAAAATGAAGTAATAAAAAAAGAAACGGAGACCCTTCAGTTGAAAATAAACGAACTGAATCAGGCCCGCTCAAATAATATTGAGATACTTGGTTGTAATATTCGTGTTGGAATATTAATTGAAATTGTAGAAGTAGTTTTCAATCTTTGTTTATTTTAAACAATCTCTCAGTTAAATCCGCAAAGTGACAACTCACAGTCTACTTGACATACAATAATCTAAAACAACATATACAGGACGAAACATTACATTT